CTAACGTCTGCAAGTCCTCAACTGTACACATGTATGCAGACCACACTGTAATCTTCGCTAGTAAACCCATGCTACCGCAGCTTGAGGCTGTGCTCCAAAACCAATTCACAGAGGTAGAAAAGTGGATAGCGGATAACAAACTCTTCCTAAACACTGACAAAACCGTTACAATAATCTTTGGAACTGTACCTAAATTACGTAAACTACAAAATCAACAATTGTGTATCAGAACAAATTCATATAGCACACTGACAGCAGTCAGCTCTTTTAAATATCTAGGTATGCTGCCAGACCCCAATCTATCCTTTGGCCTCCACATTGAAAAATCTTCAAAACTTTACTCCAAACTAAATGCTCTGTACATAAACAAATCCTGCCTAAGCCCTTAAGTAAGGAAACAGATAGTGCGGCAAATGCTAATGCCGGGCATTAATTGTGGGGATGTAGTGTTTGCACCGGCACCGCAAACCCACCTTAATAAACTTAATATGTTATATAATTAGTTCTGCTGCTTTGTACTAGAATGTAATTACTTTACCCACCACTGTGACATGTTAAAAGAGCTAAATTGGCTGTCGCTGGAATCCCGACGCACTCTTCATCTTTCCAACCTTGTGCATAAGAACATTTCTGGGAAGCTCTCACCCTACCTGAGTAGAATGCTCTCCTCGGCTGTTCCCACCTCATATAACCTCCGATCCAGTACCAGCATGATATTTTTAAAAGATCTATGGCAATATACCTCAGCACAGAATGCACCTGTCATGGTTGAATATATTTATTACCTGTTATGTATTAAATTTATATATGTGTGTATGTGTATATATATTTATAGTTTGTATATTGTATTTTTTTAATATTGTATCCTATTGTAACAATGCAATGTTTTGTGGACCCAGGACATACTTGAAAATGAGAGAAATCTCAATGTATCCATCCTAGTAAATAATTTTATAAATAAATAAATATTGCGCACCAATTTATGGGTTGCCTCTCCTTTTAGATCACAGGTCATGATCTACCTTGTGCAAGTCTTCTGTCTGTGATCTGATTGCATTGGGCAGCCAGGGAGACCAGGGCCGATTAACATGGGGGCTGTTGGAGCTGCAGCTCCAGGCCCAGGCCCAGGCCCATGGAATAGGCCCATTGATTTAAAAAAATTTAAAATAAAACAAAAACTATTTTTTTAACACTACTATTAGGGTTGTTTACCTGGCCGGTATTTATTTGAGGCTGCCTGGCCGTGCCGATATTGCAGTAATACCGGCAATAGAAATGCCGGTATTTACTCTGCTATACCAATACCATCATGCCAGGCTAGCCTTCCAATTCTTTGGGCAGACACGCCTCCATTTTGGGCATGTCCGGCCCTTTCGGAAGTTCTGGTTACATGAGCCGCGTTAGTGGCCCACCTTTTTACACCACCCATTGACTTCCTGCTTCACTGGACACTTCTGTTAGGGGGTATGGATTTACTTGAAAGATGAAAGCATGAATTAGAGAGAGATTAGCATATTTTAAGAGAATTTGAGTAATATTTGTAGCTGCATCCTATGAGTTTCCCTCCGGCAACATCTCCACCAGATACATAATGCTTGAGAGGTATGACTGTTTTAGTGTTTTTGGTCGATAAGATTTTGTAATTAGGCCCCTCATTATTGTCAGCACCAGGCCCACTGGGCTCTTGATCTGGCCAGATTGTCGCCTTAAATCAGGGGAACACACGATGATGTCACCGGACCGAGGCTGACCTTCCTTTCCTGTGTGCAGAGCTCAATTTGATTGCTTTAAAATAATTATTTACTTCCTTATAAAATAAAAGAGAAGTTAACAGACAAGCAGGAAAGACTGAGAGTCTGACAGACATTTTTTTTAAAAGCTCCATCTACTTGGAACGTGAATACAGCAGCTAGAAATAGACTGAATCTTTTGCTCCTTGTAACTGGAAAAATCAAGATTCAGCTGCCCAGATCTCACTTTTAACCTGAAATACATATAGAAAATCACACTGCAAACTGAATCAAAATATCCCTGCAATCAGAGCACAGTTTAAAGGGAAGCTATAGTCTAGGACAGGGGTAAGAAATCTTTTTTTACCTACCGCCCACTAATGCATCTTTCTTTTTTTTTTCTTTTCTTTTTTTTAATTCTTTATTTTTGAGTGCAGATTGAGAGTACATACGTGCGTGCGTTACCCCAACAGCATTCCTCAAGCAAATTTGCAACACATACATCATTGGGGTAGTTCGGAATACATGCACAATTTTAAATTTAGGTTGATAGTGTTAAAACAAGATTAATACAGGTTAGGTAACGATGTCTCAGTGGTTAGATTTCGCTTAAAATGGCAGGTCAAACAATTATACTGGGTTTGCAGAGCGAGCTGGGTAGAACAACAGGAGCTGCAGGCAAGTAACGTTGGTATGGTAGAGCAGACTGAGTACAACTGCCTATCCATCATACCATAACAGGAGGCTCAGATGCACTGGGAGCTAGTTGTAGTGCTGAGTAGGGGCGCTACTCCCCCGAGTATTACTAAGTTGGCAATAGTGGTATGAATGCTACAAAGTGGCTCAAGGGTAGGAGAGACTAGGTAGTGGGTTATGCTTGAACCTAGAGAAATAACTTTTAACATTACATTCACATGTATCTTTAATGGTGGAGCCTCAGTTAGCTAGCCAGGTCCTGCAGGAATGCATATTTAAGAGGTATCCACACTTGCCATGGTTTGCAATTGTAGCGTTCGTCTGAAGTGTAAGGTGGCAAATATGAGCCGGGGATTGCTTATGATTAGGCAATAAAATAATGCTATACAACACTATGAGGCACCCTGGGGTCTCCCAGGCTTCTCCGAGCTGGCCGGTATAAAGATGATCCCTTTCCCCAGTGTTGCGGCATGGTGTGGTGTGCCGTGGACAGTCTCCTGGTCGTGGACTCAGGTATGCAGTGCACTCTTGATTCTTCACCCAATGGGCTGTACTGAGCTAATGCATCTTTCTTGATGGTAAAATTTCCTTACCACCCACCAGTGCTGCAGTAACTTTTTTGCGCAGCTGTCTTCAGACATTGTGGTAAATAGCCACGAGCATATTTCTTTTTTTTCAGTCATGGGTTCTAAATTTGTTGCACAATTTAACAACTACTTTTACTCTTACCACGTTTTGATCTCAGACAATGCTTCCCCCCCCTTTTCCCTTTTATTACAAACACCAAAAATAACGCCGTATAGGGTGCCAATTTTTATTACGTGTCACCATAAAAAGAAATTCCCCTTTTTTTTCTACTTTTCCTGCCTTCTCCTTCTTTACCTTCCTTATATTATATCACTATAGCAGGGGTTTCTTTTTCCCTTTCTCTTTATTATCTCCTTCTCATTCCTTTACTTATTTGCCTTCTTTCTTTCATTTTATAAGATAACAAAACTTAATTTGCCAAAACATGAGCCACTCCAAACACTGCTTTCTCTCCTCCTTTATTTTATCCCTTTTTCTATTTTTCTTCCCTTCCCTTCCCTAAAAAAAATTATGTTGATCTTTTCCTTTGTATCTAATTTTTTTTAATGCTTTTCTTTTACCTTCCTTATGGCAAAAGCAAGGCTGAGCTAGTTAGCCCACTTATTATTATTATTAGCTAACAACAAATCTCTCCTTCTCCTGCCTATAACATTTCTTTCTCCTATTTTACAAGTGCTCTCCTCAACTTCTGCCTTTCCCTGCAATCACGCATCAGCTCCCACTCCTCCCCTTCCTCTTCCCACGTGTTACACTCGCTCGTGTTGAGCACGTTCTCGCGCGCATGCACGTGTTCTCTTGTTCACGCGCATGCATTCTCGTGCTCGTACACGTTCATGCTTTCATGTGTGTTTGTGCACTCACGTTGCCCGCTCACTCGATGGAATGAGGATTCAGCTTGTTGTGCCACAGGGACCAGGATGACGACCCAAGGTCTAGGAATACAAAATTGTAATCCTATCCTATAGTGCCCCCCCAAAGTCCCCACCTGGGTGATTAAAGGGTTTAAACCCCTTTTGTCACTTACCTGAATCCAGCGCTGATGTCCTTTGGAGCTGGGTCAAGCTTCGCCTGCTCCTCCCCTTCCGACGGCAACTGTCATCGGGGACCTAAGGTGTGTATTAGACAGCTACTAGACGTGCAATAATTATCATTGCAGGGTTAAGCTGACAGGGACAATGAGCTGAAGTTCTCTGGGTGCCTATAGTGCCCCTTTAATAGATTCCCCCCCCCCCATCAACTCACAGAGATAAATGATAGATAGAGTCCAGACAGGCTTTAGGGTAAACCAGACAAGTGCTCAGTGGGCCGAGATGGCCGTGAGTCATGGCCAACTGGATAGTTAAAAGGAACTGGCTGGACAATGTAGGGCTAACAATACCTTAAAGCCAGCCGAAAGGGGGGATCTTCTGATCCAAGGCTGGTGGTGATATCAACGATCTCCTCAACAGCCAGGCCACCTTTATGCCAGGGCCCAGGGAGCTTGTGGTCTGTACTTACTGTACCAATCTTACAGCATGCTATTTGCCTGTATAACCGTGAATGCTCTCTTTTTTTGTTTTGGGACCTTTTTCCGGTCTGTTGTACCTTTCTATGCTGGTAGATTAAATTTAATTTTTTGTAACTTTGCACAACAAAAAAATAAATAAATCAACTAATTTGAGTAGCAGCACTGCTAAATTAAGTGGCCAAATATATCTCTATATAGCTATCAAATGCCAGAGCCGTAACAGAAGAACCATTTGACTGGCGAAATGCGTTTTAGGGCTCTATTATTGGCGGTTCTCTATTTCTTGACTCTTAATTTTTCCTGATGCTACTTACCCGTTGTTGGCTCCGGATTAGATATGCTAGTCACGAGTTTCAGTTTCATTGCAGAAACATATAGTATTTGTACAACACACTGGTTTTATGGTGTATAGATTAAATTAAAGGTTTCTTTAACTAGCAAATGCACCTAAACAAATGTTACTTCTGAAAAATGGCAGGTTTACTACAATAAATCTCTGCTTTATTTAGGTTTTTTTCCTTTTCTTGGTTTTATTAATTATTTACATTTAAACAATAGATATTGCAGTCATACAGGTAACAAAAAAAAAAAGAAAACCAGAACATTCAGGGCACATATTGTGCAGCAGTAGATGAAGAGTCCCCATATTCCTTGCAGTTAGATGAAGACGTGGCTAATATTGTAATTACAGAGGGAAGCACTAGTACTCTGGTTCTGGAATCATAGTGCTTGGTTACCCTCAATAACTGCTGACAAGGACCAGGTTTCTTAAAAGGATTGACAATAATTTGTCTACTACTACCAATGTTGACAAGTCCCTTGGTCTAATAATTGCTTGTGAGTATTGAAAAGGGTAAACAGGAAAATCAGATACCATGTGAATAAATTACAGCACATGTAGCCTTTGGCTCTAACACATCTAGAACTATAATCTAGCCCTCCACTGCCTTACTGCCATATTAAATTATAATGGATGAAACAGAGTATAAAATCGAATATAGACGATTTCAGTTAATACATTTATAGAGGTCATATGATAATCATGAAAAGGTGATATGCAACAAAAAGCTTGCAAATGGGCACATAGTAATGATGGCAATGAGAAGTCAGAGGGTATCACTGCAGTACTGGCTGTGGTGCATAACGCAAGTGTGAGCGGTCATCTTGCTGAGAACCATCTGAAAGAAAGAAGCAGACAGTACAAAATATAGGTAAGTGTGTAGAAAAAGAAAATAAATAAATAACAAAAATGCCTAAAATAAGCTTATGTTTATCAGCTATACAAGTATAAACACCCATTACATATGCAGACATATGTAAGCCAATCACCAATTCTGTAAATTGGATGCATCCTACATGCTGACACAGAAAGCAAAGTCTTATTTTATAAATGGTAAATTTGCTGGACCTATCCTTTAAGCCAAGATACAGACAAGAGACAAAGCCCAAGTTCGGTTTAATTAAGATTTTCTTATCCCCTGCTATGTTAATAGCTTGCTAGACCCTGCAAGAGCCTCCTGTATCTGATTAAAGTTCAATTTAGAGATTGAGATACAATTATTTAAGGTCAATTACATCTGTTTGAAAGTGAAACCATTTTTTTTTTTCCATGCAGGCTCTGTCAATCATAGCCAGGGGAGGTGTGGCTAGGGCTGCATAAACAGAAACAAAGTGATTTAACTCCTAAATGACAGTGAATTGAGCAGTGAAATTGCAGGGGAATGATCTATACACTAAAACTGCTTTATTTAGCTAAAGTAATTTAGGTGACTATAGTATTCCTTTAAGTTTTTATGCCTGTAGTTTAACACATTTCAATAATCTAATCTATTTGTGTATTAACCCTTTCCTCCAAAAACAATGTATAAACAAACTATGCGGTTTTAAATTGCAAAAGAAAACTCAGCCCAAAAATCCATTTACCGTCTCATTTGCTTGAGTGCGGATTTTTACCCTGCAAAGAATTTCTCATGCTTATCTTAGTAGATCAAATTTCATAATTACATTCTAACAGCAAAGACGGCCTTTGAAATCACTTCAGAGAACAGTATAGATACTTGGTATAACTGTACTTACTGTATACATCTACCTACAGTATGCTTGGTGTAACTATCTACTGTGCTATGCCATGTCATACCATATAGTTGCTAAAGGATTAAACATATGAATAAAAGTGGTGTAAATATATATAATTGTAATGTTTTGTATCGCTGAAAAGCAATCTGTACACCACATGCTTAATATAAAATATTATTCACTTCTTCTTTTAGAAGAAAACTACTGAGTAGTGAAGGTGTTAATATGTAAACCTTGCCCTATGCTAGTTTTTCACATCTATCTAAATATAGCCTTTCTGTTGACATCTGTAAAAAGAATGTTCATTCTGTTTTATTTTCTGCCCCAAATGCTGAACATTGCTTGAATATCCTGAAATCTTTATTTTGTTTTGTTTTTTCTAACAACCACAGGTATTACATGTATGAGAATTTTTTTTATACATTTAAGGTATTGGGAATTATAAAGACAAGCAAAGATCTAACATATAAAAGGCATAATGTACATTCAAACTACAGTTAAAGCAAAATAATTAAGGATGTTAAGCTGGTCTGTGTAACATGAATACCTCGGTCTCTCTCAAATATACTAGGATGCTGTGGCAAGGAGATGATTGGAGTAGTGGGGACATCTGGAAGGTCAAGCTGATCAGATACGTTCTTGAGAATATCATCCAACTCTCTCTCTAGATCGTCAGAATCTATATCTGGGGGAAAACAATGCACTTAACAAATAATATACAACATGATTTATACAGAACAGTAGGAGCTTACAGGGAAATGCTATGGTGCAATTGAAGGGGTTATAGGGAATACACAATAGGACAGGTCATTTAAACAAGAAGCACTGTAATTAAAATAGCTTATATAGGGTTATATAAACTCCACCACCTTTGTGTGGACTTCACTGCATGGGGATAGGAGGCATAAGCTGCCAATCTGTAAATTGCACTTCTTATGAGCTGGCAAGGCTTTATAGCATTGAACCTTTTCACACACTGTTCCATTAAACAAGATTTACACACGGGAGGCTGGCTCTGATCTGCACCATAACCTTTGCAATTAAACAAAACAATATGGTAGTTAGAATGACTACTTTGCAGTAAAATGGGGATTATGAATGCAGTATGTGTTAGGGAAAGCCAGTAACAGGAAGGGGTGTAAATTAACCCATGGTACATACCAATATCATTAACTGATGCTCCTGACAGAGTCTGACTGACATCATCTTGAAGATCACAGAACTGTAACGAGAAGAATAACAAGGAAAATAGAAGTTTGTCATGACTAAAACTCAATATCCAGAAAAAAATTGGGGAAATATTTAACAAATACACGAAGGCTAAGATAAGGCTAAGACCAGTGGGGTACCTCAGGGATCTGTACTTGGACCCATTCTCTTTAATATTTTTATTAGTGATATTGCAGAAGGTCTTGATGGTAAGTATGTATTTTTGCTGATGATACTAAGATATGTAACAGGGTTGATGTTCCAGGAGGAAAAGCCAAATGGCAAATGATTTAGGTAAACTAGAAAAATGGTCAGAATTGTGGCAACTGACATTTAATGTGGATAAGTGCAAGATAATGCATCTTGGACGTAAAAACCCAAGGGCAGATTATAGGATGTTTGATACCCTACTAACCTCAACATCTGAGGAAAAGGATTTAGGGGTGATTATTTCTGATGACTTAAAGGTAGGCAGACAATGTAATAGAGCAGCAGGAAATGCTAGCAGAATGCTTGGTTGTATAGGGAGAGGTATTAGCAGTAGAAAGGGGGAAGTGCTCATGCCATTGTACAGAACACTGGTGAGACCTCACTTGGAGTATTGTACACAGTACTGGAGACCGTATCTTCAGAAGGATATTGATACCTTAGAGAGGGTTCAGATAAGGGCTACTAAACTGGTTCATGGATTGCGGGATAAAACTTACCAGGAAAGGTTAAAGGATCTTAACATGTATAGCTTGGAGGAAAGACGAGACAGGGGGGATATGATAGAAACATTTAAATATATAAAGGGAATCAACACAGTAAAGGAGGAGACTATATTTAAAAGAAGAAAAACTACCACAACAAGAGGACATAGTCTTAAATTAGAGGGACAAAGGTTTAAAAATAATATCAGGAAGTATTACTTTACTGAGAGGGTAGTGGATGCATGGAATAGCCTTCCAGCTGAAGTGGTAGAGGTTAACACAGTAAAGGAATTTAAGCATGCGTGGGATATGCATAAGGCTATCCTAACTATAAGAGAAGACTAGGGACTAATGAAAGTATTTAGAAAATTGGGCAGACTAGATGGGCCGAATGGTTCTTATCTGCCGTCACATTCTATGTTTCTATGTTTCTATGTAAGCTTTCTAAATTATTTAATGTTTTTGAATAAACTTTTAAAAGTATTTAATATAATGATTTTTTCTTATATAGGATATATAAGCTTTCTGTATTTTTTAATAAGCTTTATGTATTTTATGATATTTAAATATGTTGAAAAAAAATCATTCTACAAGTTTATTTCAAAATATGAAATCATTTGGAAAGACTAACAATATTAAATTGAGACCTAAATCGGCAATGCTAGGACAGTTTGTTTACAGAGGAAGCAGAAAAGAAGGTAATGGGATCAAGAAAGTAAATGTCACTTGGGCTATTCTGAGTTTAATGGATTTACATGCAAATGTGGCATAAGATGCCACACAACTGGCAAAAAAAGTCATCTTTATCACCTCTTGAATCTGATCCACTAAGCTTTCAGCTTTCTCCAGATTGACATCCTTCATAGCCAGTCGAAGGGCAGAGACTCCAACGTCATATGCTGCAACGACCTACATTTGATAGACCAATTATAAAGTGCCTTTCTATTTGTAAAATAATCATTTACAATAATAAAGTTTTAAATAAAAGTGTTCTAAATGATCTTATAGGTCTACTTGGAAAACACACACACACACAGAGTTCGAAACAAAATATGAAATGGCTGCATTTATTCTAGCACCTATATATGTGCTGTAAAATTACCTTGCGATCCGTTTCAGCTGCTGATATTCTCTCCAGAATGCCCTGCACTGTATCCAGCTTGTTTTGCAGTTCTGTTACTCGCCGCTCTGCTAATTTCCTGCGTCGTAAACAGCGTAGAGCCTGAGGGGGACAAAAAAAGTGACACATTATGCATTACTGTAAGAAAAGAAAAAAAATGAAAGCAATGTTTGTGAGAAATAAAGAAAACAAATGAGGAGGTGACTAAAATGTAGAGGCATAAGAAAGGCCAAAATAACAAGCACAAGGGGAAAAGAATAACATGGACAAAAATAAACCATTTCTTTTTACCTGATGCTTATTTCCTAATCGTTTGCAGCTTAATGCATCCATCTTTAGCCTGAGAACAAATAGAGAATAGGTGTCACAGTAGGCAGCAAGTTGAAAGAAAACTCTGGAAATTCTACACCCTCTTTCCATCCCATTTTAAAAGCAATACAATTGAAAGCAAAAAAATAAAAAATAAACCCACAAAATCACATCTAAATATCTCTCAAGTGATGCAAATCCCTTGATCCTGCAGAACCTTGAAGTGGCTAATTTTCTCAACGAGTCCTCCCTTTTCTTTTCAAAATGAGGGCTGTGCATATCTCATACGTTTTCACTAAACATTGATTTATGGGACATGTAGCTCAGCTACTGTGAATAGTTACATTCATGAACAAAAAACAAACAAAAAACAAGCTACTAGGCCGGTAAACAAGCCTTCTGAAATTATTTCATGTTTTTGGAATACGGAACCCTATTGTTTCAAGTCACAAATATGAAAGTACTTGAGAATGCTTGTGTTGAAGATCTTAAAGAAATAAAACCTGGGAACAAATATAAATTAACCCCTTAAGGACCAAACCTCTGGAATAAAAGGGAATCATGACATGTCATACATGTCATGTGTCCTTAAGGGGTTAAAGAAAGAAAGGAAATTGATCTTTTAAGTTAAGACCCTAATGTTGTGATACAATCCGCTGATAAATGCGCGGTGAAAGTAGTAATTTTAAATAAGGAGGTTTATCATTATTAATGACATTTTTAAACAATTAAGTGATGGAGGACACATATTTAAAGTTAGACATAAAACTCTTTCCAAATGCTCTAAAATGTATGATTCAAGGCTTGAACCATCATTGTAAAATATTGTATGGATGGCACTTCGTACACACTAGATTAAAAAAGTTGTTCTCGGATTCTTTGGAAGAATGTTGGGGGAAATTGCGGATGCATAGGTACTATGAAACACACGTGGTGGGACTGCCCTAAACTTAAAGACTTTTTGAGAGATGTTCTTACATTGGTCCAGGTAGTAAATCCTTCTCTAACAAATCTCCTCAATTGGGTCTATTTAAACTTATCCCTAGTACATTTAATAAGTCAGAAAGAGTTGGAATTCTTCATATTCTGATTGCCATGACATCTGTTTTACAGAATTATTTGAACACGGATAAGATTCCACCAAAAAGAGAAATTATTGCCATGGTATTAAAAAATAAAGGATACAAACTGACCTTTAGTTAAACATTATCTATATATGCTTATGTGGGTCCAAAGTATAAAGAGAAATGTTTTGCACAATTTTATTTTGCTCATGATTAGAAATGATATAGGATCTTTTAAGCTCACTCTGTATATATGGTTAGCGGTTGTATAACAGCTAGATATAGTATATTGTATAACAGTTATAGTATATTGTATAACAGTTAGATGCAGTCATGGTTGTATTTCCCCCTGTATTTGCTCCACTATTATTGACTTAAATGACTCTGAAAAGCAATTCAAATGTCTTTTGTTTTACTCCTTTACAGCAATGATTTTGTAAAATTAAGACCACAAGTGCCCTGAAATGTCACTCTTTGTGATAGGGTTAAAAACACATCTGTACAAAGTCGTATTGCCAGCAAAAAAATAAAATAAAAAATGCTTGCTACATTGGTACATTACACAATTTAAGATTGTTGATAATATGATCAGATATTATGCAAAGAATGAATTTAACAAATGATGTCTAACAATATATCAATATATATGGTATCAGTTTAGTTTTAGACAAAGCACATTATTTAGTGCTGAATATTTTTGACACTTTAAAATTCAAATGAATTTGGCTAGATATTTTAAGCTATACATTGTGCTGGCAAACAGCCAGAAAATGTAGAGTTTTAGAAAAATACTTCAATTTTTTTTTGTTATATGATGTGGTATATGTTGGCACTAGAATAATTGTAATGGAAATTTAATTCACTTCTTGCATCAACATAATTCTGGAAATTGACAAAATGGACAGGGCAGATGTTTAATGCTGCCATGTCACTTTGACACTGCATAATAGAAAAATTAAAACATTTAAAATATTATGTTTATATTTGCAAAACCATTGTGCGCACTAAATTATATTTTCATTATAGTTACATTATGGATTACCCATTGTTATTCACTAAAATAAGAATTGTAGTGAAATAACCAGGACATTGCAAATGTTAATCAAAATAGAAAGTCACCAATGCAGCTATGTTTACAGCTAAGCTACTGTAATGCAAACTTTGCAATTATCTGGTTAATTCCCTGTTTTGTGATTAACCCAACAACTCACAGAACACTTTAAGGGCGAGAGCTTACAGTTCTTCAAATCCTGTGGCCTATGCTTGGTACTCACTTGTCTGACTCCTCACATGCACTCTCTAATCTCTCAGAGAGAAGCTTCTCACATTTACGTAGCTCATAGATGCCCACATCTGTGTCTCCAATGGGAGTTACTTGACCCATGCCCTCCTGTAAAAACTTCATCAGCTGCAAAGAAAGTTGAGAAACCAGCAACGAGACAATATGGTTAATGTTATATATAGATATAATTACATTGAACGTTTTGTCATTACCCTTTTTTTTCTTGTAACAAGAGCAGAATAAGTTCAGGCAATACCAGTCAGGGAAAGGATATCAAGTGCATGCCAGGATGGATTTGTTTCCCAGCACAAATAATCAAAACACAAATGTTATTAAAATATCGTAATGGAACACTATAGCATTAGGAATACAAATCTGACAGATGTAGACTTAGCCATGCAACATGTTATACTTCAGGTTAAAAGACAGGGCTGGATCACTGCACCCAGACCACTTCATTGAGATAAAGTGGTCTGGCTGATTATAGTGTTCCTTTAAGAACCTGAATTACCATACACAAAAAGCACGGCTCTCACCTTGGTCTGTGCTCAAAGAAGGCTGCAAAGCATTCCTGAAGCCCAGAGGAACTGCAGCTGTGATGTGAGTGGTTACATTTAATCCCTCCCTGACAGCAAGTGTAGGAAAATGGAACTCTCTCTGGCTCTCAGTCACAGCAGTTTTCAACACTGACTTCAGGAATGTAATGGGTTAAATGCAGTTAATTAATTATGTGTTAGCATTAAAATTGGGACTCCTACTTGCCAATTAACTCAAACTAATAAATCAATTTGGTAAGAAGTTTGTATATGTCTCCAGTATGTCTCCACCCAAAGGTGACATTGGTAAAGCTGCAGATGACATTACATTTTATTTTTTTTTAAATGTAAAAGTATGCGTTGGAAAGTTCTCTCTCATGAAAATGTGCCTTTGTTAGAAATATATTATTAAGCTCTAGTTCATGCTATCCTGAAAGGTGTGATATAATAAAATGAACAAAACAAATAACATTATTGACTTCCTGATGCCATCAACACCTTGAGTGAAACAATCAACCAGACCAGCTCAACTAGTTTTCAGGATACACTATAACGTGTTGCTTTACCTCGGGCAATATAACATATCTTGCACTGCCCCTCCTTTTTCTTTCCAGTAAACAACAATTGACAACATTAAATACTGATGCCAATCTGCAACAAGTTAAAAATACATTGCCTTTAGCAGAAATAGTGAAACTTATAGGAAGTTCAGTAAGCTGTGAAGTGAAAAATGCCACAACAAATCAAAGTAAAAAACTCAATTTCACAGCACTTACATGTCCAGGGTGACAACATCGCCCCATGATGGTGCGGGCACACTTATGCATGCTTGGGCATCAACAGTGAAATGCTGGACCAGCACAGTGCCGACACAAGGTCACTAATAAATCTGTAGTAGTAAATTGACTTGGAGCATACTAATGCACACTGCCATAGCATGTGCACTTACACTGGTCTTTATTTTTTTGACAACAGGTTCCCTTAGTGACCTGATGGTAGAGAAAGAAAGCTATAGGAAACCATTCACCTTCTCCTCGCCTTTCTCCAACACACAGATCTTTTTGTCTCTCTGAAGCTGCAGCAAAACCAGATTCAACGATGAGGGATTTGGACAAATCTCTGCCCAAAGTGATTGCACATCCTTCTCACGCAACACAGGAAGAGAGTTTAGGGAAGATGACGGATACCTTTTCAGCAGCAACTCTGCCCATTTCTGGAGGGTGTTAAAATTCACAGTTTATAAGGAGTGCGGGCACATGTAACTATTATGCTACAATAAATTAAACTATATGAAAAAAAAGTATTGGTAAACTGACCATTACAATAACAGGGACTTTTATGACATTGCAGTCTAAATGCATAGAAGATAGAATTTACTTGGTCCCCCCTTTGCAGATCTAACAGCTTACACTCTTCCAAGAAGGCTGTCCACAGAAGTCCCATTCATCCAGTAGATCATTTCTGAGGTCAGACACTGATGTTGGACAAGATGCCCTGCCTCACAATCTCTGTTCCACTTCATACCAAAGGTGTTCGATGGGGTTGAGGTCAGGGCTCTGTGCCGCCAATCAAGTTCTTCCACACCAAACCCATCCAACTTTGTGCACTGTGGCACAGTTATGCTGGAATAGAAAAGGGCCTTCCCAAAACTCTTCCCACAAAGCTGGAAGCATAGCATTGTCCAACATGTCGTCTCAGTGATTTCTCATAGAGGTGTTACTAGGCATGTAATGTAAACACTGCCTTTTCTCTGAAAATGCAGCTTTTACATTAGAAAGACTGCAGGGACATGCTATAGACACCAGAACAATTATGTTAAGCTGCAGTGGTTCTGCTGACTATTTAAAGAATTATTGCCCAAACATGCTTTTCATAGCCTTCTGTGAAAGAGATGAATATTCCACAAAAGATGCACCCATATGCAATAACGTGTTTTTATTTTTTTACACTCTTATCAATAGTCTTTACCACGCCAATAGATTTACATTTATTTGGTGTGGGGGGAAGGGGGAGGGTGACAACGATACTAGTGGCAATTTAAAATCCATCTATATACTGATGAGCATAATAGCAAACAGACATACGGACTGTGCTCTCAAAATCTTGAATAGTATATGTGGAACTGCACTCACTCCCACAAATCTGAGCCAGGGTGCTTGCTGAGCCGGAATCAAACACCAGATTTCCAAACATTAGTAAAATAATAGGGGTCCAGGCACTCCTTGGTTCAAGACAGGCACTTTATTGAGAACCATAACAGCAACGTTTCGACCCCAAAAGGTCTTTGTCAAGCTTAAAGGTCAGCTTGACAAAGACCTTTTGGGGTCGAAACGTTGCTGTTGTGGTTCTCAATAAAGTGCCTGTCTTGAACCAAGGAGTGCCTGGACTCCTATTATTTTACTAACGTGCTCTCACAATCATCCGTTTTGATAGCCTTACTGAATGTATCCATGAATACACAATTTCCTGGACCTATATAAATCATCATGTACCTTTACGACTTCAGGAATCACAAGTGCCTCATCAGGGGAAATCTGAATACCGAGGACAGTTCCAGCAGTCCAGCGGAGAGGACGAATGACAAGCTGTCGAATGCTCCACGCCAACCATCCACTTGTGACACCAGATACAAAATCTGACTCCCTCTGCAGAGTTCCTTGTCTGATAAAACAAAGACAATATGACAAAGTTAGAAAAAATATACAGGATTGTGCTCGATTATGTAGTTCAAAAAATAGTGCGGCAGCATATGTGTGAATTATTTGTTAAGGGATAGCATATCAGTTATTTTAAGATTTACGCTCTATTTATTTGGTGAATGTGCACACTTGACTTTGATGGTAATTTATTTAAATCTCTATTTATGTATAAATTGCATTGTAATGTTATAATCTCTATAGAATTTACGCAATGTTTTCTATATTTAGTTTACACTATAATTAAAAGTCTTCTAACGTTTGAGGGTCCACCTTGGCAACAAGCACAATACAAGAACATGCTCTCCTAATTATGGTCTCCACCTGACCATCTCCTGAATGACCGTAGGAAGTCCAAGAGGGATGCTCCCTTTGCGAGTAAATTCAGTTTGCAATTGGCGCAGCGTAACACTGAGCAATCCTTGTGACTGGCTATATCGGAGAATCATGGACACCCAGAAGGACATCTTGCTGTCCCAGTCGGCGCTATTGACATCTCTTGATTGTTTAAAAGCTGAAAAAAGGAAGGACATCCGCTCATCATCTTCCCAATCAGGTGGATACGGTTCCACAGGTGCCATAATGTGTCACAATTGTGAGGGTAAACCTAAAGAAACAAGTAAAACAGAGTTTGTTGGAACTGAACTGGTAAAGAAGACTTTTTTCCCTTAACAAGAAACGGTTTGATATCAGATAAGAGGGTCAGAATACCTTATTAAAGGTTAGACACTTTAGATGACAGTAAGAGAAAGGAAACTGGATATTGCTCAGATAGGTGACAGGACAGGAATGGCAACAAAGTTAATGTGAAAGAGAAAGAAACATATTGATACAAACCCCCAGCAGGCTCCACAGCGCCCCCTCTCTGCCTGCTGCCACCAATCTGTCCCGCACTCCTATGTGTCCGAAGATAAGATGTCCATATGATGCATAACTAAATGAGAGCCAGGTTGGACAGGTCTTTCTTGAAGCGGCCTCTTTGGACCGCAGTCCGCAATTTGTTACACACTTTACTATTGGCTACACAAAAATGGCTCTCCAAAATACGGTTCGAGCTACAACAAAATGGCGCCATGAATAAAGCTGTGGCTCTAGCTACAACAAAACAGCTCTTGCGTTTAGAACTCTTGTGAGAGTCTCAGTGTGGAGCCAGATAACGCGCCGACTGCCCCCTCACGGCAGAATACCGGTACTGCATGCCAGCAGTGTACAGCGCGCCTCTGCATCAGTAAACTATATATGAAGGACGGATGGATGCACCTTATCAAACACGAAATGAAATTAACGTGATCCAAAGCATATACAGTAAATAAATAAAGTGAAGAAAAAAAATAATAAAAACCAGCTCAGTGTTTTTAACCGCGGTGAATTGTGTAATATTTATGATGGGTGGAGCGGCGACTGGTTCTAAATACAGACACGTCGCAAACTATGGCCTTTGAGGACCAGTTAATGGGGACATTTTTGTGGAGGTGTGTAAATCTCTAGCACTGTCTCTCGGTCTCCGGGAAAATGGCCGCCATTGTACAGTACGGTGACATTTTATTTGTCGCCGCGCAGCTGATCTTTCTCTAGTGTTTATAACGTAGAGACACGCCCCCTTACTCCAGTCCTAGACAGTAACTAGTTGGCGGGAAAGAGGACGAGCAGGTAAGCTGAATGGTGAGCGTGGCTTTTATTATGTTATTACAGAGTAAAGCCAAATAATCACATTTATATCATAAATCGAATGTCACAATGTCTCTGCACAAAATCTAAACCTTGACAACTACATATTTTTAATAAGTTTGGATATTAAACCAAAAATGGATAGTATTATTATTATTATTATTCACCAGGACCCAGGCAATAGCCACAATAAGTTCTTCATACTGTTATCCTAAGTGCAGCTGAGTCTCCCTGGATAGAATAGGCAATAGTATTATTAGTATTAACATTTACATAGCACAAACTTATTCCACTGCACTTTACAATATTATTAAGGGGGGATTTAACAACAAATGAGACAAACTGTTCCAAAGTTTGACAGAAACAAGAGGTTAATTAATTTTAAATCTATGTTTCGTCCTGGCCAATAGAGACCCTGGGATACTACACAAATGAGTCAATGGTATTAATCACTGAGACTTAAAATAAACATTGTTAAAATACAGACAGGTTTTAACATTTAAAAAAAAAAAAGCTTTTACCGGTATTTTGTTGCACGATTTAAAAGTACATTTTTAATTTTAGGGTACACTAAGCGCAATGCTTTTTATTTTCTTATGAATAAAATTAAAGGGACACTCTAAGCACCATAACCTCTACATTTTGCTTTAGTGGTTATGGTGAAAGTTGTCCCACGGCAAGCTGTCAAATCATCCTAGTGCTGATAGGTGCCTCTGGTCTTTCTTTAGACATTATTCATTAACCAAAGGTTTATTCAGTAATCCATCAAATAATAGTAACTTGAACCAAGAATTGTAAAATTTTGACTAAAATAGCCAAACTGTGACTATAGCTGATATGGGGGATGATTCCAAAACCGCAATTTGAGCTTACATTTTCGAATTTGGGTTTGATCTAACTTCATTTTATGCAGAATTTTAAAATTGGGCTAATATTGCCAAACTGCATTAAAAATGTCAGATTCAGTTTTTCACTTATGCAATTTCGTTTGCAATTCTGTTCTGCAATATAATATGGAACATGTTCGTGAAAGGGATAACAATCCAGCTATTTGTGCTAGATTTAAACCAGATTGAGCAGAGTGGTATTCACCATGTTTCTGTTGGCACTTTGTCAATTCATTTCTGTTAATTGACCATTAATTGCTGAAAAATATGAATGGTTTCATTGAACCCAATAATAACCAAATCTTCTACATTTCATCCAATTAACAATGGATGCAAGGTTTAATTTAGTTTTTTTGTTGTTGTTTTGTTTTTTAAATGTAAGAAACATTTTTGTGTGGATATATCCAGGGCAGCACTACAGATGGATGTTGCTAGTCCTCCTAAATTGGACAGAACCACATCCTAATTAAACAGTAAGAGATTTTATTCATTTTAACTCCCCATTTACATGTATAACACATGATAAGCCACTCTCACACACTCGCATTATAATACCTCTCTATAATAGTTATCTGTGTTGGTGATTTGAGAAGAGGAGTTTTGAGAGTCTGCAGAAAGTATGTCCTTTGTATGTAGTGTGGAAACAAGTTTTCTCTGCTCACTCCAGTAACTGAAATATCTACAGTGCCTGCATTCTGTCGGAACGATGTGATATTGAGTTGTCCCTTTCACCTGTTATATCAAGAAAATGCAGTGTGTGTATAAAGGTTAAACATTCTGTAAAATAATAAATTAAAAAGTGCTGTGTGGTGGACTTTGAAGATACCTTTAGGTTATAAAGCCCCTTCCCAAGGTAGCCAACCACTGTGATCAAAACATTAGTAAAGTACAATTCCTAAATTAATGAAGAACATGCATGAGAGCTACTCTTCATCAACTTTGGAAAATTATATTACAAGATACAAGAAGTATTTGTAATCACAGTACATTTCTATAGAATGAGCAATGAACCCCTCACCTAATGGTTTTGTCTACTTATTCATTTTGTAGATGTGGGATCAAAGCACATAGCGGTTTGAGCACATATCAGGACGAACCCTGCTTCTTTCATGATGGAGAATGATTTAGCTCTCTCTGATCAGGGCTCAGATGCTGGCAGTGAAGAAGTTCTGACACCTGCAGAGCTGATTAACAAGTTGGAGGAGGTGAGATGTTCTGCATGGAATAAAAACAGTGTATTGACGTGATGTGTCTGTGCAACTCCATTGTTTTTGGTTTCTTGGAGTGATGTTGTTGAGATGTTTAATAATGCGAAACAGAGGAATCAAAACATTACCTATTAGGGTAGCAAAATTAATAGTATACACATTCATCATCTCTAATTGATAAATGAATGTCTAAGTCACCAAGTAAAGTCAGTCCATTTCCAGACAGAATGTGCAGAGCTGCAGAATCTACTGGCTCATTGTAACAAGAAAAATATGAGTAGACATGTACTAAATGACAAACTTTGGGACTGATCATTAATGTTTATAACTTACATTATTTTAAGACAAATATGCTACCGTACTTAAAATATTTTTGACAATAATGTTTAAATTAAAAATACATTTGTTATAATAGACATTCCTCATGAATTCCTATAAAGAGAAGACAAACAATAAACTGATATTTATAAAAGCATATGGTCAACTCACATTATAATGTCAGATATCAGAAGAAACAAGACTCTTTTACTGGCGAATCACTATGTTTTATTTAGTTCTCAGTGTGAAATCAGGTAGACACCTGCAAGTCCAATTCTTCAAAGCAAATGTTGATTTATCTATAAAAGAACTGTTTGAACTTTTGTTGATCAGTTTTTGGTTTTTTTTTTGGACTTTTATGAATTATTTAAATATAATTTGGAAGCAATTAATTTGCAATAAATGTATAAATATATTATTTATCTGAATTCTAGGTCATTTATGCGCGTATGCTTCTTTCCTTGCAGGTATTACCAATTTCATAGTAGTGCATGAAACACTGAATATTTTGTGCTGCCTCGCAACTGTTTTGTGTATTCTTCATACATTTTGGTTATGAGCTGCCAACCACTAATTGTACAACTGTGTCTCACCTCTTCTCATGGAAGAGAGAGATGTGCATATGCACAACTTGGACAGGTCTCACACCACAGAGGGGGATTTCCCTTTTAATGTTTAACCCCTTAAGGACACAACTTCTGGAATAAAAGGGAATCATGACGGAACATGTTTCCTTAAGGGGTTAAGTAACGGGGGTCATGCTCTTAAGTAAATTAACCCCTTAAGGACACACGACATGTGTGACATGTCATAATTCCCTTTTATTCCAGAAGTTTGGTCCTTAAGGGGTTAAAAAAAAATAAACACATATGAATTGTTTTGCTGATCTGCTGTTTGCTATTTTCTGCAAAAAGGCAGGACTCTCTCTGCTCCCACAGATTTTGCAGGTTTACTCTTGTATATGAGGCAGCAGAGTATGAATGGATAAAGTTGTCCTGAGGGAAATGGACTATGCATTGCCCTGTGCAGTATACAGATATGTTTTGCTATAAGGCAATAATAAAGTGTAAGATGTATTTATTTTATTTTTAATTGATGGGTCAGATATGGCAATAAGCATGGCTGGACAAAAGGTAGATCCAAAGATATTACATTACTACAGCTGCCATGATGCATTGCCAACCTTTAGAATAGGGAATACATATATACAGAATATTACATTTGGGAATCTACCCAGAATAGTGTACGTGAAATTTGAGTTAATATGGCAGCCAGTTGCATTTGAATGCTTGTAATGTGCAGTAGGTTATGTATAATTCAGTGTCAAGTATAGTAGTTTGCTGTGTGAGTGCCTGTAGACAGGATATAGGAGGAAACCTTTACAAATATGTCCAATAGTGTCCAATTCATTCATGAATTTAGTATTACGGTAAGATTTCTTACATTGCTTACAGTTGTTAGTTGCTGTGTTCTCCAGTTATTATTGTCATTCATGCCTGACTTATCACATGTAAAGCTGGGGAATAACATTATACTGAACATTTTGTCTTAAAGTCTTTCATCGTTAATTTAACATTTTTTGTGTCCCACTATGTCTGCCACCGTTCATTGTGTTTAGACTGGTGTGTCCCACCATTGTGTACTGTGTCAGACAGGTTCTGTTACTATTTTGTGGTAAAAAGCAATACATGTGAGTGAATATATTTATGTACAGCCATTTATTATGAATGTGTGTATTGTAGATTCTGTTCTTGTGTAATGATGCAGTGCACAAACTTTGTGTATATGTGTAGCAAGATAAAGGAACCAACTTCTTCCCCTGTTCTTCTTTGTCTAACAGGCATGGCTTAATGAAAAGTTTGCACCGGAGCTCTTGGAGAGCAAATCTGAAATTATTGAATGTGTAATGGAGCAGTTGAACCATATGGTAACTTTCTTTCCTGGTCTATTCACTACTATTCAGTACCTTGGTGGTAATGACTTGAAAGCTGTCCTGGACTGACTTTCAACTTGTTTAATGCCTATATTTATACAGGAGCAGAACTTGCAGAGGGCAAGGGCTGGCGACCTAAAGATCAGCTTCCACCACATGGAAATTGAGAGGATCCGATACATGCTTAGCAGTTACCTTCGAAGCCGCTTGATCAAGGTAATTTGTCCATTTCTGGTAACTGAGCGGAGCTTGTGAGTACTGCATTTTACAGGATGGTTTTTCAATGCCAAAAATATATCATGTCTAAAAATATATATCCACTATTCAAATATTTTGAAAATATTAAATTCTATTAAAAGCGTATACAAAATATATGAATATACAAAATCATTTGAAAAGCTTATTCAAAAATATTAAAGGACCACTATAGGCACCCAGACCACTTCAGCTCAATTAAGTGGTCTGGGTGCCAGGTCCATCTAGGGTTAACCCTGCAGCTGTAAACATAGCCGTTTCAGAGAAACGGCTATGTTTACATCAGGGTTAATCCAGCCTCTAGTGGCTGTCTCATTGACAGCTGCTAGAGGCGCTTCTCACTGTGAAAATCACAGTGAGAAGACGCTGACTTCCATAGGAAATACAATAAAAGTGTATTCTAGGGAATATACTTCCCCAGTGTAACTCTATTAGAGTGATATTACCATATGATGAACTTGGTTGGAATGATATTTAAAATAGCAGAAAAACAGAAAACAACATACTGTGAACTGTACAAGAATAGTAAGTGTTAAATAGATGTCAAACTCCCACTCACATTCTCCAGAGCCGTGCCAGGCTCTGTATATCAGGCTCGCAGGTGCCAATACTGGCTAGCGATCTCCCTGGTTCGAGCAGAAGATGCAGATGGGGCTCCAGCATATGTATAAAAAGTATTTATTGAAAAATATATAAATAACATTACATTGAGAAATGCTTTCCTGTGGACTGATTGAATGTGTGCGCGTCTCTTGCCGCGCATGCACATTCAGCGCTGACACCGGAAGAGGGAGTAGATTTCCTCAGCGCCAAGGGAGAAAAGTAAGTGTTTAACCCCTTCAGCCCGGACCCTGAGGGTGGGAGGGGACCTAAAGACCCTATAGTGCCAGGAAAACAAGTTTATTTTCCTAGCACTATAGTGGTCCTTTAAAACAAGACCACTAAAGGCAGCTTATATAACTGAACTTCAGTCCTGGCCTCTTGCAGTAATCATTGGTGCTTAGCTCTGTATAATGGCTACTGAAGCCATATGAGTGATTTACTGATCACTCTTGTAAGTTGCAGCTAAATTGTTTGAATGTTTATTACTTAATATAACGAACTGTGCTTCTGTTTGTCCTTTCACTTTATTTAAAGATTGAGAAATTCTTCCCCCATGTCTTGGAGAAAGAGAAGACTCGAGGGGAGGGAGAGCCTCCATGTTTGTCACCTGAAGAGTTTGCTTTTGCCAAAGAGTGAGTTTTTCCGAAGTCTTATAGTAGGTGAAATGTACATGTGAATTTTTTCACCATTTTCTACTAACACACACACACGACAATTAGTATATTAAGACATTTTTCTATTTACAATGAGGGACAGTTTAAAGAAATATATGAATTACAGAGCTTTCTCTACAAGTAACCCACAGAATGTATGTCTCAATTACTCAATAGGATGATATAATATGTTGTGTTATATTTGTACTTATGCTGTAGCGGCCTGCATCCAACCCAGACTGTGAATTATCAAAGCCCAAGGAGATATTGTGGCTTTTACTAAAGCTAAACAAAAAACAGACTGATATATACTACTGGGAATCTCTACATCATTTAATTGAGACTAGTGTGAGAAATGGTCTTCCTTGTTGTGTGTATGTGTGTGTGTGTATATGTGTGTGTATATATATATATATATATATATATATATATATATATATATATATATATATATATATATATATATATATATATATATATATAAAATTTCCTAGGAATGTGTTGATTAAAAGGGACAACTGTGTCAGTAAGTCAGTCACCTGTAATACTCGTTTTCCTGGCTCTATAGGGTCTCTAGGTCCCTCCCACCCTCAGGGCCCCCCTCCCGCCGTGCTCTAGGGGGTGGAAGGAGTTAAATTTACCTCTTTTTTCCAGCGCCAAGCGGGGGACTCTCCTCCTCCTTCTCGCATCATCAGCTGAATGCGCATGCGCGGCATGAGCCGCGTGCGCATTCAGCCAGTCCATAGGAAAGCATTTTCAATGCTTTCCTATGGACGCTGGTGTCTTCTCACTGTGGAAATCACAGTGAGAAGCGCAGAAGTGCCTCTAGTGGCTGTAAATGCGACAACCACTAGAGGCTGGATTAACCCTATTATAAACATAGCAGTTTCTCTGAAACTGCTATGTTTATAGAAGAAAGGGTTAATCCTAGCTGGACCTGGCACCCAGACCACTTCATTAAGCTGAAGTGGTCTGGGTGCCTATAGCAGTCATTTAAACTGACCAGATAGCAATTCTTGGTTTGTGCACAAAAGGCATACGTGTTGTCCTAAATTTCTTACACAAGGATTATTGTTATTCCAAACAGAGAGATGCTATGCAGCATAAAGTTTCTAACAGAATGCCAAACGCATATGTGTCCCATCTCTATAGATACACGGCAAACACAGAAACCTTATTAAAGAGTGTGGCTCTTCGACACATGCCACCAAATCTGCAGGCTGTGGATCTTGTTAAATTGGGTAAGTGGATCAAAAGGAATGGAATTAAAAACAGCAAGGATAAAAATGGAAACTATATTGTCATTTTGTCTTCTATTTGTAGTCCCAAAGCCAAACCTAGATTCCTTTGTGTTCCTGAAAGTTAAAGAACATCAGGAAAACATCTTGGTTGAACCAGAGTCAGATGAACAAAGGTACGAGTTGTGTATTTTTTCTCTGACAAACAGTCATTCTTCCATCATACACAGCCATATCTGTACTGGTCATATGGACACTCTCAGCCACAGTTCCCAATTTCCTCTTACACTACCTACTTTACATGAGATTTATATCCCTCATTACTATATCCATACTCCATGTACACCCAACACCCTTACATTCGTCAGTCTTTCTTCATCCCAACCCTCTGTCATTGAAGGGAATTTGTTCTCTTAACAAACTTTATTCCTGGAAACATTATGTCCATCGTAACCCCTACTATTGCATGTCACTAGGGATAGACTGTGAATAATAATAATAATAATAATGATAATAAAAATTTTTTAAAAAAGAATCAAAACATATTATTTCTGTACAATCAAATCTCTGATTGAACGTGGGCTTTATGCTGCCCTAGTATAAAAGAATGCATGTCTTTCCAATACCTATTCCCAAGGCTCAAACACTTTATCAAAAATCCATCTCTATTAGGCAGCCAATCATATTGTAGACAGTCATTATTTTATGCTGCTTCCATTTTCCAAATGGAAATCCTATATATTATTTTTGTTGTGATTTGCATTAACCTCTTCAACTTTAAAAAAAAAAAAAAAAAAATGTTATTTTATATATTTCATGTTTTAATGTCCTGCATGACCTTTTTATATGCAGATTTTTGATGTACGTAAGAGAAGCTTCTCAGTCTTTCTTTTGAACACGTTTACTAAATAAAATAAAAAATATATAAACAGTGTGACATTTGCAAACTATTTCTGGTACATGCCAAGATACACACAATCCATATATATATATATATATATATATATATATATATATATATATAATATACACACACACACACTATTTTCCTTAACTATGCATACTTTATACATGCTCCATCCATCTATTAAAGGTTCATTATAAACACAGCTGCCCACTACACCAGCAATGGTGCGAGTAAGCTGTCCCCCATTCTGTGTTAAGTTGTTTTCAGGTGGTTTAACACAAACATAGGGTCCCATTGGTTTATTGCTATTTCAGACTTTCTACTTCTGCATTAGCAATATCAATCCATATTTAGGATCTGTGTGTAACTTCAACATTAGTAGTATGCTGCATCAGGGCTTGGCCATGAGAATCCAGGGGACCCTCTGTTTTTTTCAGATGGTTTGACATAGAGTCAAGGAACAGTGGAAAGAGCATGGTGGCATCACAACTGCTATAGCACCCTAGACCTGTTATGGTGCTTGGAGTGCTCTTTTAACCCCTTAACGACCGCTGACGGTTCAGGATATTTTTATAAATATTACTTTTGAATATGAAAATCTATCTAAAGTTAGCCTCCTATTTAAGATACCTTCTAGTTCAAACATTATTCAGCATGAAATAGGGATTAGTTATATAGCATGTGGCTGTGTAATCATGCAATATTCAAATTTTTCCTAACTAATTCCATTAATCCAAGTTAATTAAACTTTAATCTGCGAACATGCACTTTTTTTCACAGCAAAATATATTAGAATATAAACATACAAAGTTCAGAAAAGGCTTGGAGTCTGTATGTGCAGCTTTTCAATCTGAAACTCTGCACATACTGAAATAATTTTAATCGGGGTCAGAGGTATGACTCCACCTCCAGCAGTGTCATTAATACGTTAGTAGCCAGTCTGGAATGAGAGATCCAGGCTGGCTAATGTCAGTTATGTGCATATTCATGCACATTTATGGCTGAGAGCATTCCGTTAACGTTATCAGCCAATGAATGATCCGGTGGGATTGGCATCTGGCTTCTGCACCTCTGCAAAAGCTGGATGTTCATCACCCAGCATCAAAAAAGGTTTGGTGTCTGGTGTGTAGCCCAGGTAAGAGGGCAAACATTGCAGTTCACTTTTTTTTTTGAGAGTATATTTAGTTTAACCACTTTAGTAAACACAGATGTTAAAACAAATACAAAAACAAGTATGCTATATTGCTTATCCCAGCAACAAACGCAAGTAACCCAAAGCAGAGACACCAACCCCAGCACACCGACGCCACCGGGCCATCGACACCCAAAATAGCGGACGCTACACGGGCCCAAGCACCCCAGCTCTACCTGCTCCCACTATCGGTTAGGCCGGACCGACTTCTGGCGGATTTCTGGGCCAAGATAGACAGCCGCAGCGGCGCCCCAGAGGGGGTCACATCGACACCAACTCCAAGAAATCGCACAACAAAGCCCACAGTACTAACTCAGACCCAGAGAAGGACCTAGAAAGTAGGGGGGACGGAGGCGGGGGGACCCTGTGCCGGCTCCAAAGCCCCAACTCTAGACCATAAGGGAGCAGCCCAAACCCTCAACAAGGGCTCGCCCCGGGACACCCCCTTCAGCACAATCGGCAACAAAGGGCTCCACAAACAGTGGGCGACCACTCACCCCGGCAGACACCGCCCAGCACTCGGTGGCAGCCAACAGCCCCACCAGAGGACGGAGCTGTGGGACGGCGGCGGAGGGCTCAGCACTCCTCTCTCTCATGCACAATAGTAAAGCAGAGGGGACCTATGAAGCCACGACCCCCTCAGACACCCACCGAAATAGAGGTGACCCTGCACCGCCCACGCAGTCCAGCAGCCCGGCGACAAGGGGACTCGCTCAGTCATTGCACCTCAACGCGGCAACCCTGGTACCTGCAGAAGGGATGCTCCCAGCCCCAACGAGGCATAGGGTGAACCCTACAGGGCAATTTAAAACACTGGTTTCCTAACCGGGAGACCCCACAAGCACACTGAGCCATAGCAAAGAACCCAGGATGAATCTGGAGACATGTTTCTCACCTTGCTGGCCAGCTTGAAGAGGGACCTATACCTGGGAGACCCCAGTGGACTTTAGTATAGTATCGGTTTTACTATGATACAATTTGTTTGATTGCCGTATTACTTTAATGCTCATCATTACGCAGTTTATTCCAGGCACCAGCGCATCCACACTATACAACTAATCTCTGAGTCCGCCAAGTTATTGTTGGACACCATCTAAATCTAAGTAACAACCATCCACTCTCTCTTGGATTATAATTATCAATATTGCATGACCAAAAGAGTTAATGCCAGTCAAGCATGTTACGCAGTGACCGTTACTAAACCTGTCTCTGACCATGTCATCATGGTTCTGACACCTACAGGCATATTGACAAAGCTGTAAGCATTTTAGATGTTTTTCATTGTGCTGCAGGTTCTAATTCAACACATATTGCCCTCTGCTTGCCTCCCTATACTTGTTTAATATGTTCTTATTCTTTTGCCTCACGCTGCCCTGGATGCATCTAACAGTAAATGTCCCTTGATAACAAGTTTTAAATTCATGAAAAAGACCAGCTCCAGCGGTCTAGGCAGCGATGACTAGCTAGCTAGGCTATGTATGATCACCTTTGGTTACTTCTATGTTTTTACGAAATGTTTGCTAGCTTACTGTAATGGGAATATTAGTATTAGCCAACACACAGTCATGCGAAGCTTATGCTGGCTCCCCAAACGCCTGCATGGGCTGTCATACCATTACATACATCTTACTGTTATCTCATGAACTGCAATACATAAATACTATAAAATGAGGCTGCTATCTTCAGGAAATGTTGAACCGTGCTGTGATATCCCTATACTGTGCAACTCTTGTTCATTTCCCCTTCTTCATTCTGTACCGTACAAAACATATGCCTCAATAAAATAAAGAATTAAAAAAAACAAAAACAACTTAAATTGTTCTCCAAATATGAGTGATTAACTTATTAAACTGGAGTGCATTTTACAATGATTTTATCATCTTTTTATTTCTAATGGTTTATAACAAAATGAGTTCTGATATAACTGTTAAACTAATCTTAAAAGTTATTACTCTAAATATATGGGGGAGGGGGAGACTGTAATGTTTTACATTGCATGGTTAAATTTAAAAGGACCACTGCATCCGGACCACTTCATGTCAATGTAGTGTTCAGGATGACTGTAGTGAGCCTTTAACAAACAGCGCACACATAAAAAAAGTTTAAATTCTTACAAAGTTACTTATAACACCTTTCATAGCAAACAAATATGGGGAACTGTTCTTTTTTTTTCTTGTGTCATATGATGACAACAAGCGTGTAGATCCACAACAGCATCTACAAGCATTGTCAAGGCATTTCAGAGTGTGGCAGTTTAATCAGCAAATTTTTTGTATAATCATGAAAATAACAAGCTAATAGACATTGCTTATATGGTATTTTGTGCTAGGGTAATTATGCCGTTAACAAAACTAGTCGCGCTTTAGGTTATAAGCGTGTGGCTTGTATATAGTGCGACATACATGCCCTATATGTATAGTGGTGAGAGTGGCAGGTTGTTAGGCTAGTAACGGTAGCTTTATACTATGTACAGTAAGAGTATTAAACGATATGCTTTGTCAGGGGGCGCAGTGTGCACTTAAATTTTTCACCAAACACACATCTTGCTAGAAATATAAACTAAGTTATAAAAAGAGAAGAGTCAGTAGGACAATATCATACAATACACTGAGAGTCCATGTTGTTATGCAGAAACCTTCTCCAGTGCTTGGGAGTGGTAGCTAGGCCTCAGTCCGGAGGGTTATCCATAGTCAGCCGATGCCTGCTCTGCTGAGCCGCTGGCATTGTGTGTAGGTCCCTTGGGTCAAGGTTCCCCCTCTTGTGGGTCGTGGAGAGGCCCTCCGCTTGTTGCGCCCGCCGGTTACCTTCCTCGCTGTATCCCGGTCAGCATTGCGACTGGCATCATGGATTCTTGTGTGCGGGGTTGCGCTTTGCTTGTTAGAGATTGCTGGGGCAGTTGAGAGGCACGCGGGTCAGACATGCTGGTGGGTTCTGCTCTGGAGCGTGGGGACGCGAATGCTTACATCCAATGATTTTGGCGCCGTTTCCTGCACTGTTGATTTTCTGCTTTGTTCCTGTCGGGGAGCCGCTCCGGAGCCACGAGGGGGATTCTCACCCAAGTGGCACTGGGTTGCTGGGCGGATCCAAGCCGCCACCTCTTTCATCGCCAGCTTGAAGGCCTGTCTCCGGATTTTGTGCTGGGTCCAGAGGCTGGCACAGAGCCGGTCATAGAACTCCCATGTGTGCTTGGGAGGGTTAGTGAGTGTGCGCTTTCTCGTGGGCTGCGTCTGTGCCGCCATCTTGGTTGGGCCTTGACACTCCCGTTTGGCTTTTGGCTTTGTCCATTGGCCAGGTGTTGCTGCAGGGGTAGTAGTCTCCAGCGAGGACCGGGATATCCCCCGCCGGTCCAGAGGGAGGGGAAGCAGGGTTGTAGTGTGTTCTTTAGAGCGCGGCCCGCGGCGGGGGAGCAGCGCTTTTGAGCGCGGCCCGCGCCAGGGGATCGACCTCGGGCCCTGCTCTGGTTTAGGCCGCATGGCCGGCGTGGAGTTTTTCGCAGCGTATCGGTGATGGGCAGGTACCATTCTGTGTCTCTTGTTGGTTTGAGTCGGTCCCCAGACACCGTGTGCCGCCAGTGTAAGCAGTTCTGTCGATATTGTCAGGATTGTGCCTGTTATTGCAGGAGCTCTTAGAGTGTGCGACCGGCCATCTTGGCGGTCAGGCCCCGCCCCCGGGGAACTGTTCTTTAATATGTCTTTACAGCAGTACCACTGCTGAGAATTGCATGTTCTGGATGTGCCTGCCAATATATTTGGAATCCAGACCTTTTTTTTTGGGGGGTGAGCACCCCTCCACTCTAGGTTCCCCAATTAGAGGTGACAACACGAAAGCATACATTTGAGGAGTCTCTTTGTAAGCAGTTTAAGCAGTATTGCAATTAGCATGTTTATCTCCCTTGTTAAAATTATCTTAGGATCCACTTATATTGGGATACTGTGATGTTAGTGGTGGGCTTAATATGGTATAGTCATATAGTGTAACCAAATCCCCATATCGTTTGCTAAGAGAGGTGGTTTTAAGTAACTTTGTAAGATTTAAAATCATTTGTGTGTGTTTGTGCACTGTCCTTTAATCTATTACATATTGGTTTTTACATTAGCACCACTTTACTTTTTAAAGCTGGTTCTCTTCCTTGCTCTTTAATTTCATTGCCCTTTTTGTTTTGTTTAAATAAAGAAGCCTGTTCAAAACTTCAGTTTACCTAATACATCACCTTTATTTGTTACCTTCTATCAGTGCACCACTTTACACACAATTTCTCTCTATTCCAGTGAGTATGCCATAGACATGGAAGTTGGATCCCAGCATCTCATCCGCTACCGCACAATAGCCCCACTTGTGGCCTCTGGAGCTGTGAATCTCATTTGACTTTGTATGCTGTACAAAACTATAAAACCAGCAGGGGGCAGCAGAGTAACATACTTGGATTGTTGGCCACTACATCTGTTGTACTGCATAAAACCGACATACTGTGCATACAAAAGGAAAGTAATGACCGTGTCATTCACAATCTTGCTGTATAATTCAGCACTTCATGTTCTGCTAACACGTATAAAGAGTTCAACGGGTTTGGAGTCACTGAATTTTATAAATACTGGGAAATTACTGCTTTTTACATTGAATAATACAAAGGCTGGCATAGTAATCTCCAAAGATATCACCCAGGCTTGGATAATGTGCTTCCTTATTTTATTGGATATGTGAAAGACTTGAGACGGTATCAGTAACCAGAATGTTAAGTTCCAAACAGTCATGGTAGCCCATTGCTTACCGGATTACTGTCCTACAATAAACTTGCAAGTTGATCTGTGTGTCACCGGTAGAATCATTTCACATATTCATCAATAAATAGACAATTTATCTTCACAGGAAACGAATGCTTCAGCAGATTATGTGGACTTAAAAAGCAGATGGATGAAGAAAAATACAATCGAAAAATGTAGATTTTGTCATCAGTCTTTGAATGAATTTCTGAAAGATGATGTAAACAATATTTCCTGTTATAGATTAAAAACACAGCACAAAGCTCATAAATGATCACTTCTATTTAATATTTAAGTATGTGTGTATATTGTTGTCAAACTTGAGTCAGCCTACCATATCTTCGTACGAAAACAAGAAATGTGTCCATGTTTCTCGTTGCATTAGATCTGTATTATTTCCTAAATAATTGCCCATTTTCTTTGGATAAATATAATTTTTGCAGTTATATTTGTATTGAATACTAACTGTTCATTTGGTGACAGTTGTAGATTTCTCCTTTTATCTTTTTATCTACTAATTTTACATTGTCAGTTATATCGTTAAACCCTGGCAGTCACCAATCCTTTAAAATGTTTTATTCTCTGTAATTGACTCGTACATTATATTTTGAGAGGGTGAGTGATTATTGGCATGCACACACTTTGTATTCACTGACATTGTAGATCCACACCTCCATGCTAAAGCCATTAAGGTATAAGCCAAACACTTCAGATATCTGTCTTTTGATCTATGCATGTGAAGTTAGTGTAAAATACCCAGTAGTATAAATCAAAATGCATGCATCCTGCAAGGCACCTCTGCCTTTTCTGCATGACAAATGTGCTTAATTTTATTTTTTCTTCTTACTGGGTCTTTTTCTCTGAAGAACCATTAAATTAATGAAGGTCATTGACTTAATGAGTAAACGAACTGTACCCTCCCCGTTTAATTTAACAATAAGAAGGCAATTTTCCCTGAAGGCTTTAGCTTTGTATACAATGCAGTATTTAATGCTCAAACAAAAACATGATTTAGGTGTCTCTCACTCTGTCTGTCTAACCCAGTCTCCTGTTACTCTCACTCCTAGCACTGCACATTAAAAAGGTCTACAAACATAAATCTGAGAACAATTGTTAAATCTCTGGAGAATGCAATTGTGTCGATTAACCAGGGGAGGGGGTTACTTTTTTTTTAATTGTAACTTATTTTTTGCTTAAAACACATTTTATTTTGCATCTGGAGATTTGTAATAAATCCAGTTTTTGGCTTAATAACAGTGCATTGCCACTTGTTTTAGTATTGGTGTTTAATACAAACAGGTGATGCCTGCAAAAATATAAATTACTAATGGGCAATATAAGTAAAATGTGAAAGATACTGCTGTATCAAATATATGAAGATTAAACAATGTCACTTGTAATTAAAATGTATATGATATACTGTAAACAGGGATAAAGGCTGATCACTCACACTGCCAATGGAATCTGAGCACTAAACATTGAGCTACTAGGTTATGTGTTCTTTTTCCCCTTACACTTATTCTGACAAAGAGAGAGGAACTGATCTCCATGGAAGGGCAATCTAGTATAATTACTAATACAAAAGAAAAAGCTTAACAAGTTTGATTTATTCACCGAACACAGAGTTCTAGTGAACTGAAAGCTGAATTGCAAAATTTAGGCTAAAATAGCTGAATCAGAAAAATCCTCCAACACCGCTGTTATCTCATCTTGGCTAATTTTGCCATTTGGATTTTACAGTTCATTGTTTAGCAAAGGAATGCCTGCTGTGTTTCATTAGAGATCCCTCTTGCTCACAAATGGGCCAATCTTATTTCAGACTTATCGATGTGTTTTACATTCCTGATTGTTGCATATAAGGGTGCAGTTTCTGGACTTGTCTTTAACGTCACTTGTAGTGTAGCAATTCTTCTTAAATACACCAAATTTCACCAAAGTGTGGCTATAAACTTATTTTTTTATTTAATTCATGATCAGCCTGGTAATGTTTAGCTGGGTTTACTTCAGCACTGTACGTAGGAGATTCAGTATAGTAGGTGATTGATTATACTCTCCAAGTAATTGGCAGTTATTCTTAGTGGCACAAACATGTTGGCCTTCCCACCTGATACTTTAACATGCAACCCAGTGTATATGGAGTATGAAATATTTTAGGAATAGGGACAAATGCACATCACAAGGCCATTAAGGGTGTCAGATTTTCTGTTAACCCCTTTACGGTAGGACATCAGGTGAAGGGATAAGAGAGAGTCCAAGGCTTCATATAGGTCATAAGGTGGTCCACCAGCATCAACTAATTCCATATATTTCATACCAGAGGATGTTTAAAGGAGAGGGTTAGGAAAGAACGTCTTAGAACTCTCCATTATCAACCCACAGAGTGATGTGTATTGGATGTGGCAGTACCAGGTTATACTGCCAGGTACCCCTAAGCTAATAATTGATTCTGGTAACACCAGTTTGAATTTTACTTTCCTCTTGCCCAGTGGATAGAGTAAAATGTTGAACTATTCTTTGTTGGTGGGTGTAGGTGTACCCACTGTTGATTTCTGTTTTTAATGCAAATAGTATGGGGAATTAATAACTGATGTATTTAGCCTTTGTTCAGGGCAAAATCAGTTTGGCTCCGTTTCGGTGCTGTTTAATTTGACTGTTGGCAAATATAATTAATTTTGGCCATAATGGAAGAAACCAAATTTGTGGGCTAACTTTGATGATGAAAATTAATTTGCTTGTAAATGACCCCATACTTAATTATGCAGTATTTTGCATTGACACACCCTCCAAGCCTATTCTAACATTTCCTCACAACATGTTAGTTTCACTGTAATTTAGAAAAGAACTCTTAATACTTGTGGTTCCATAACAATTGGGAGGCTACTTGTGGGCCAGCCTAGAATTTCTATTGTTTTTTTTTTTCAAGTCAAGTAAAAGGCTTAAATATGTGTCTGCTGATGGCTTCTAGATTATTATTTTTTCTAACCATGTACGATTGTTGATAAAAATTACATCTAAATTCCTTGTTTTGTTTGTCAAAATTAATACAAATTAAGATAATGTTAGGGCTGTGGGGGAAAAAAGTCCAGCTGTAGCCCATACTTGTCGGTAATAGAAGCAGGCTGAATGTTTCATATAGTAATAACATTGTGTAACTAGTAGAGCTGGATGTAAGGCTGGCCACAGTGCGGGAAGGTACATTGCTCTGTTTTAATGTCTGAATTATGGTGAAACTAGCATGCTGTGAGGAGAAACTAGTTGGATTGCAATATACCCCATAGAGTTGTTTATTCTCCGTTCTATTACAGCACCAAATTTAGCTCTACAAATTCACTTTTGGGTCGAACTGTTGATATCCAACTGAATTCGGGTGTGTGTGAGACCAAAAATCATACTGTCCATACAATAAAAAATTTTTAAAAGCTGATAACTTGTCTTCTATGCAGACAATAATATATGATCTATTTTGGAGGTTATGTCATCATTGTGGAAGTTATCTCCATATTATTGTTATTTATATTCAACAACATATTTGTCAGTGCTGTAAAATAGACAAGTACAAAAGTTGTTGAGAATACTACTCAAACAAGGTTGATGGCGTTGTCCAAAGGCAATCTCTCAGTTTCTTAGTATCGGCTTTCCCATCCATTCTGTTTAGATCTCAGGGACTTCCTTATGTCCAGGCTGATCTAAGGTTTAAAAATAATATATATATATATAATATGTGACTGCCAACTAGGATATTCTTTTGGATCATAAGGCACATAGCTGAAATTAAACCATTTATAACCAAAAATTGTGTATAATGTTTTGTGGCTAATGGTCATGGTCTGTAATTCTGTGTGAACTTTTTCTTTCATATGGTCCTCTTATTTGAAATATAAAGACAGCTATGTGAATGATTGGTCTCTCTACATTCCTGTGAAGTAGCCCTTCATTTTCATCTCTCTAATGTCTGACCTCTTTCTAATTTTGTTGGTCATGTAATTGATCTTTGTAATACTGTATCTTAAAACATGGCATCTATTTGATGATTTACTGTTTTTGATTGGTTGTTGTTTTTTTGCAGTTGTGATTTTGTACATTCCTTTTGATGCCTGTCAAAGATATACTGTACTTTTTTTTTTGTTTTGTTTTTTTTGTTGTTGTTCGGGATGCTGTAATACAGAATTACAGAGGGTTAAAATACAGATGAAATAAATATATAAACTGTATAAAAAAAAATTAGAATAATAGGAGTTAACGTGATGATATGTATTGCGAGAGTTATGCATGTCCATTTCCTTTTCTTTTTCTGTTCACCTTATGTTTTTGTTTTGTGTTATGTTTACAATGTGGCAAATAGTGTGAGATAAAAATAAAGAAAACGTAAATTCTAAAAAAGATATACTGTACTTTACAGGTTTGTAATCCATGCATTCTGCCCTATCAGGTGAAAATAGATTACTTGCTATTCAAGTATTGCGAGTAAGCTACCCTCAAACATCCTAATTACCTATCACAATTCCCTGAGGGTAGAGGCAGAATAAGCTGGATCTTTAGTCTGTTTAGTTATTGAGGCATCAGGGGGAACCTGTGTGTCATTTTTATTTATCACCCTCCCTATTTTTGAACCACAAGCAACTTCTGCATCCAGAAGGCCAAACTAACTGTTTTTCCTGGAGTGAAGTCCTCAAAGTTCCATATATGAGCACATTTATATATCTGTATATGCACGTGCAGATCTACATGTGCGATGCAAAACAGATTAACATAAATCTGACAGGTCTTGTGTGTTGTGTCTGTTATTTATCGTTCTAGAACAACAACAAAAAAATGAGATGCATTATTTAGTTGGTCTGGGCAGCTATCTTCAGACTGTGCCATTTTTTGCTATATCTATATGTCACCGTCATACACTGATGTATCTAAACATTTGTTTCTCTATATATCATGGCACTGCTATAAATGCTGACCTGGTCTGTTTTTTGTTGCTGTGATAGGCATAGCAATATTTGAAATGGATACACAACTATTAGTGCCTAATACCATAAGTTCAGGTCAAAAGAACCAGGAGAAAAGTGCTAAGGAGAGATCTGCCATTCAACCTAGGTGAGATTTTTTTCTTTTAATGCAGTTATGTTGTACTCAAGCCATGTAATGCAGATTTATGGCACAATGAAGCCCTATGAAATGTAGTTGAATGGCAGATCTCTCCTTAGCAGTTTTCTCCTGGTTCTTTTGACCTGAACTTATGCCCCAGCTAACTTTGATAATGGACATTGGGCAAGGTCTATATTGCCTGTTGGATCACTGAGTCCAGTGATATTTTATATATGCTACTGGCTGAGTTGCCATTTGTTTAATCCACTGGCATTGGGGTAGGATTATCAATCATGATGAACAAAATTAATTCTAGGATCATCTATTACAATGAAAAAAATTAAATTGATTGTTGTTTTAGAGAGAGAACATTGATTTTTTTTTTATTTATTTTTTTTAATATCTTTTTAGTCTGAAAAAGAAATTAGTAACCCCTTTAAAGTGCTTTGGCAGTACCAAAAAGTTGCATGCAGCCTGAGCAATGCTAAGGCCACATGTTATTTTTGTAGATACACAAAAGAGGATACTTTAATTGCCGTAAATGGAGGTGTGGCCAATGAGTAGCCTGTTCTGAGAAATCTTAAAGGGACACTATAGTCACCAGAACAACTACAGCTTAATGTAGTTGTTCTGGTGAGTATAATCATTCCCTGCAGGCATTTTTATGCCAACACTGTCTTTTGAGAAAAGAGGCAGTGCTTATATTGCCCCTAGGGACACATCCAGTGGCCACTCCTCAGATGGAATCTGGATGTGCTACCTGGGGCATTGCTGCACAGTAGGCAGCACTGTCATTCAGCGTCTCCACGCTCTGCATGTAGACGCTGAATTTTCCTCATAGAGAAGCATTTATTCAAAATAGCATTTGGCCCTGCCTCCTTGCAGATTTCAGCCAATTCAATGTTTTCCTTATAGGAAAGTATTGGATTGGCTAAAAATCAGCAATTCTGATGTCACCAAAGAGACGGATTGGGGACTGGACCCGCATGGCGCTGGAAAAAGGTGAGTTTTAAGCCTTCTAAGGGGGAGGGCAAGCCAGCTAAACATGTTTGAATACAAGTTTGTGTCCTGACCCTATAGTGTTCCTTTAAGTTTCTTAATAATAACAATTTATGCCTTTAAAATGTAATTTAGAACAAGAACAATGTATCTTATTTACACAGGTTGATTGCTAAACACATTTATTGTAGTTTAAAGATATATTACTTATTGAGTATTATTGCTGTGGAGCTCTGTTACACACCAACAACATGTAGTTCATAGAACAGAGGGCTTAAAATGGTAGGTGGGTGTTGTTTTTTGTTTTGATGACATAAGCACATTCCCCATACAGTTAGCAATATAGAGGAACTAGCTCAAATTTTAATTTGTCTCTTAAAGCAGGTAGCAGAGAGGGACCATTTAGAATCAAAGCTTGTTTCATATTGAATCTAAGACTCTCTTAAATGGTATAAAAATAATTCAAATCTATATGCAGCTGGAGTGCCAGAGGACTTTCTAGTATTGCAGCAGTATTTAAAGGGATATCGGCACACACAGACTTTGAAAAAGCCCGTCCAGGGTGAAACGTGTAAGTCACGTGGTGCCGACAAAATGTATCTGGTGTTCAGGGAGGTGAAGTACCAAGCAAGACAATCGGTGGACGGTGAACTCGACAGTGATACACCCCATGAACTGTGAGCCAGGCACATAGGATGTGTATGGTGGCAGTTTCTCACCTAATAATATTACACCATTGTAAGTTTCTCTCCCCCCAGATGGTTATTTGAATTATACTCCTAGAAGTTTTGGAGAAGCCTGGAAGGGGTGACTCCATTGCCAATGTGGACTATATGAGTGAAATCATCATAAAGAAACTTTTCAGAACAATATCTATATATACACACATTTTGTGTATTGCAAAATAAGTTCTGTAATACTTAATTATACCCAATTGTGTGCGCTAACTCATTTGATTGTACAATGGTAAAATGTAACCTAGTATCACACCCTTTCCCACTCCCACTGATCCTCCAAAACACACAATTCGCCCCTGGTATGAACCCTAGAGACTTCGTACACTTCGAGACTAATGACTTAGCTCAAATATACCAATTTTACACCAACCAACAGCTCATACCCTTTGTGGACCTCCCTCAACACACCCTATTCACAACCCACGACTTCTTCCAATACATCCAAATTAGCTTTATCAGTGAACCCACTTACAAATGAGCCAGCATTACCCTGCTAACACCTCTTGAAAAAGCGTGTGTCAAGTTACCTATACAAAAAGGATAAATCTCTGCAATATACTCCCATAGTACAAGACCACATAGTACAAGACCACTCAGGAAGGCTCGTTGCCCTACAAAGACAAAATGTATATCAAACCACACAACGTGAAAAGGTAATAGATATGCAGAAAATACAACCTGAGCTTGTCAGTATAATCAGGTGGTATCTAAAAGCATAAGATAAAATACAACATAGTGTAATCTGTATAAAAACAATAAGAATAGGGCAAAACAGACTATCACTCACATTATGCAGAGCCGTCCCAGGCTCTGTATTGTAGGCTCAAAGGTGCCAATACAGGCAAACAAAATTCCCAGAAAGTGGATGGAGAAGTTGCTCAAAAGATATATATTTATTAAGTAAAATTCAAAATTATAAAAGCTCGAGGTAATAGGGGAGTGGAATCCAGACCATGCAAACAAAAGGATATCCACTTACCCCAAACAGCAACCAAGAGCAAGTGCATAGAATGAACACAAATAAAAATAATAATAAAATACAGCTAGGTAACAGCTGCTGTTACCTAGCTGTATTTTATTATTATTTTTATTTGTGTTCATTCTATGCACTTGCTCTTGGTTGCTGTTTGGGGTAAGTGGATATCCTTTTGTTTGCATGGTCTGGATTCCACTCCCCTATTACCTCGAGCTTTTATAATTTTGAATTTTACTTAATAAATATATATCTTTTGAGCAACTTCTCCATCCACTTTCTGGGAATTTCGTTTGCCTGTATTGGCACCTTTGAGCCTACAATACAGAGCCTGGGACGGCTCTGCATAATGTGAGTGATAGTCTGTTTTGCCCTATTCTTATTGTTTTTATACAGATTACACTATGTTGTATTTTATCTTATGCTTTTAGATACCACCTGATTATACTGACAAACTCAGGTTGTATTTTCTGCATATCTATTACCTTTTCACGTTGTGTGGTTTGATATACATTTTGTCTTTGTTATTCACGTTTTATTGTGTTTGGGGAAACACTTTTATATCTTCCACCACTTTTATCTTTAGATTTACGAAGCGCCTATACACTAGTTTTTTGTCTTTTTTGTATCGTTGCCCTACATGTCAGCTTGGGAGAGGGGCATAGGCCCCATTGGAGACCCCAATGACTGGATAGCAATTTGGACAGCCACGGCAACGTTATCAATATGCGTTAATTACAAGGAACAGGCATACAAAACACTTTTACGATGGTACCTAACCCCACTTTGCCTAAAACAAATGAAACAGTCAGACCAAGACCTTTGCTGGAAAGGGTGTGGTCACAAAGGCACATACATCCACCTCTGGTGGGAATGCACTCAGATAGCGACATTGTGGCAACGGGTAGCGCAGCTCACATCACAAGTACTGCACACAGATATTCCGATGAACACATGGTTGTGGCTCCTCTTTAGGCCTGTTAAAAACACTCCATGTGCACAAAACAAATTAGTCACCAAACTAGCACTAGCTACGAGACGGGCAATCGCAAAGAAATGGGGCAGCCCAGACATCCTTACTCTTGACTTGGTAGAAACACAAAATAAATGACGGCATTAAAATAGACAAACTCTCTGCTCTTGTAAGTGACACCACCAAACACTTCGATAAAGTATGGGAACCCTGGCTATATGAATTGTCACTTCCCCTATAAACCGTTCTCCCTGGGGGAGGGCGAGGCAGGAGGGGAACCTCGGGGAGGCCCCCCAGCGAGCCCGCTCCACCCTCTCATGTACCTTTTTGACCTTCCTTACTCTCTCCCCCTTTTTAATTTTTTTTTATCCCTTTCTCTCCTTGTCCCCATTGCCCATGTACCCAACCCAGCATTACCCACCTAAACCCCTACCCCATATCCTTTCGTCCCCCATCTCCCTGCCTCTCTACTCAACCAACTTGCAATCGTTTGCAGTTACACAAACCTCTCTGGAAATAGCCAAACCGAAAACTACCACTCACTAACAACATGGGCTATCCCCTCCACCACACTCTACGGCTTCAAG